GTCGCTGCGGTGATGTTCGGCCGGCTCGAGCAAAGTGAGGAAAGGCCCCATCGTTGGTGAGGATCCTTTGATGTACGGTGCGGTACGTGTGGCGCGCGCTTCGTCTTTTTGCGGCGTTCAATCTCGCGATTGATGTCCGCGTATTCCCGTCTTGAGCCCTTGCGGCCTCATCGATCTCTCTTTGCCGACGAGAGCCCTTAGTCGCTCCATCCTCGGGCGAGATGGGGCTGCCCTTCTTCCCGGATCTCTTTGTCGAGGGATTGTTCGTGGGGTGGCCTCTTCCACGAGGCGCTTTCGACGTGACCTCGTGGGTGCGTCATGTAGCATTCTCGGGAAGGGTGGTGGCTTCCCCGCTGGAATCCAAAGCCGGAGAGCGTCTGAGCTCCTCGTTGAGGAGCTCAGAGGGTCTCCGTATCCGCTCAATCGCCCCACGAACTCGATGTCCGTGGGTGGTTGAACCACACGTAAGCGCTTGAAGAAGGCGGCCGGTGTTGCCGCCTTAACGCTGCGGAGACCGAACGGAAACTTATTGTCGAGGCGCGCCCATACGAACCCTTCCGGACACATGGTGGTGGCGTTGAGAGGAGGCTTCTTTGGGTGACGGGACTCCCCGGAGTTGCCGGTGGACCCTCAAGCTCGAGACGGTGAGGTTGATGGAAGGGGAGATGGGGCGGTGAGTGAGTCGGTGCCGCTCTCCTTCTAGTGTGATGATGAAATCTAGGTCGCCAAAACGCACGTGTGCGCCGGGGCCCGTGTGATTGCGTGGGTGGTCATCCGAGACTGGTTTGGAACGCCAGAAAGCCCCTACTGGCGCGCCAAGCCGTAGCCGGTGTTTCGTACAAGCACCGCAAGTGAATTTATAGTAATGCGCGTTAGGCTCGGATGGTGCGCTAAAGGACACGGATTTATCTTGGTTCGGGCGAAACGTCCCTACGCCCGCTTTGTTGTCGCTTGTGTTATTAGCACCGTAACGATCTCGTAGTAAGGGATACAAACCGCCGAGAGAGGGACTGGTCCCAAGTCTCTAATCGAAGGATTGAAAGGTGGTCAAGAGCTTCGTCGCTGCTTGAATGTGTGTGAGTGCGTTCTATTGTTTTGTCCTCCTTTTTCTTCCGTCCTTTTTGATGGAAGAAGCGCATCCCCTTTTATAGACGAAGGGGCCGGCTTTACAAGGGTAAGGGCTCCAGGACGCGTACTCTACTTAGTCTTGTGGCTCACGTCTACCTGGTCAGGTCCTCCACACGATGAGTGCGAAGGAAGATAAGTGTTTACAATGTTGTCGATGTCTCTCAGTAGGATGTCGGGTTAGTCACTGTATCGTCTTGCCTGCGCAGGTATGGGCTGCAAGATGCTGGTTTTGACTTATGAGCCTCCCCACCTTGCTCCGCACGCCTTGAGTGTTCTCATGAGTCCTCGTTGGGGGAATGCGGGTCGGGGTCCGTGTAACGCCGTGGTCAAGGCCTTCGACCGGGAGGGACTGAGGGGTGGGGAAGCGGGCGCCGCTCCTCGGGTCCACCGTGTGATGACGGAATACCCATCGTTCGTGGAGATAGCAAATCCTTTCTGGAGCGAAGCGGTTGTCGATATCTTCCGGGTTCCGTGTCCCAGAGTGAAGGCGGCGCCTACAACTCTACAGGTGAGGTGCACGCACTGTAATACCTTTTGGGCTCTGCGGTGCCGGAAGGGTCTAAAGCTTGATCCTGTCGTTCCTGGCAGTCCTTTTCTCGCCAGGCGCAGGTATGGTCGTTGGAGCCATGGTTGACCCGAACGTCTTGTCTCGTCCTGTACCCATTATTATGAGGGATAGATATCGATCAGGGCGAGGCTCGTTCTGGGCCGTCGGGTGAGGCTGACCCCGCCCCTCCGGGGTCGGGCGAGACGGAATCCATCCCTCAGCCCTCGGGCGAGACCGAGCCCGCCCTCAAGGCGTCGGGCGAGGCGGAGTTTATCCCTTGGCCCTCGGGCGAGACCGAGAGCCCGCCCTATAGGCGTCGGGCGAGACGGAGATTAGCCTTGAGCTTTTGGGGCGAGGGGGGTTATCCTACAAAGGTGTCGGGTAGGTGACCCCCCCCCCCCGGCTCAGGCGAGGCGGAATTCATCCTCGGCCCTCGGGCGAGACCGAGCCCGCCCTCAAGGCGCGTCAGGAGGCGGAACCGAACTCCTCATTACTCGAACAAGGGATGACATGGAGCCCTTATGCATCTAGAAGTTTTTCACGTTCGGTGGTCATCGGTTCCACCTTCTGGGGTACCCTGGTATTAGATCCCCGACAAAGGTGGAACAGTATTTTTCTCTCACACCAAACCAACCAGCAATAAATAATCCACGATCGTTTACGGCCTGCCTTCTCACTGCCAATGAATAAACATAGGTTTACAGACTGCCTTCTCACCAAACATTGATTTTTCTCACTGCCAATGAAGCGCGGAGAGCTCATGATTTTTCTGTCTCATTGCCAATACATGTTTACAGACTGCCTTCTCACCAAACCTACAACAACACAAATGTTCAGTGCCCATTATACTACTTTTGCAAGTTACAAATAAATAAACATAGGTTTAATTGAGATTTAATGTATGCATATTTGTACATACCAAGATGTACTTCTGCCATTATGGATGGCCTAAACCCCATACATTGAAGCTAACTCATCAGGTTTTCGCATGTGTTTTTTTTCCTCGAACAACGCCGTAGAGCTACGTGCCAGGTTCTCGCATGTGTTTTACATTTACCGTTTATTTTATCATTCGTTTAGGTTCTTATTTCCTTATCGCGACTCACATGCTTCCATTATACGGTACTCACGGTTTGGTGCCTCTCATTATGTCTTCTGTCAGATTGGTTGCTAGGATCTACACTTTGCTTCACTCTGTTCTCCTTCTCACTCCAAGAATAGAATAGCTGAACAGAAGAAAATAGAAGGTACGATGCAGGAGCACGAACTGCATCAATTTATTGGTGACATCCATGGTTTCTATTGTCTTTGCATTCATAACTAATCTGGTGGTAACGAGGTGTTTATGCTATCATATTGTTCTTCCAGGGGTTATTTGTTGCCAAATGGAGCAGTGACTTGGAATAGGTTCACCGTATCCAGCGAGGCTTAAGTGCAACAGCCGCTGATGCCAACCATCAGTTCATTTGCCTAAAGTACCAATGTCCTTCCATAATTCTTTTGTGGTCATCACCTGACACCAGCCCATGATATGCTGCTTTATACATCATGCCTAAATGGTCTTTCTGATTGAAACATATTTTCCAAAGTACTTATAGTAAAGGAATATTTTGCTTGGTTTTCCATACCGAAGTGTACAAATCTGTCACTTGATAGTTTCACCCTTTCTCCACAAGATTAAAATGTCATAGTGCTATCAATTTTTTTATACAATATTTGAGTTCAGCCCTTTATTCATGTACTCATAACAGGTACGTACCCTCAAATTTTCATAAATGCTTTCACAATGTCACAAGCAACAAATATGGATAATAAATACATGGATCCAAGGATGCATTTTCTACACCGATTGTTGCCTTTGGTACACCCGCGGCAACGCGCGGGGTACTGCCTAGCAGATCCATGTTGCGCGCATGAGCGGGAACCTGAAACCGAAATGGCCTCAAGTGTGGAAGGAGCGGACGGCGTCGCTGCTGTTTCCCGTGGCCTGTGGCCACGAGCCCACCACCGCCCACGAGAACGTGACGCTGCGGCCCCCACGGCTCCGATCTGCTGCCTGACTGCCTGTGTGCCTGTGTATGTCGGCCGTCTCGATCGAGCCGTGCCGTCCGGAGCCGCGGGGCCGGATCCTAGGATAGACCATTGATTCCGCGGTCCAGAGATTCAGATCAGGCGGGCCGCTGTGCTCCCATCGCCCGGTCGGCCCCGGTGCAACAGTGCCAGTGCTAAGCAGCAGCCTGCCTTGTTTCTCTTGCACAAGCTAAGCTGTAGTGCTGATCTTTCCACAGCGTTGTGGATAGGTATGGATTATGAAAAGAACGCTAAACTAATATGGTGAGGAGAAGCAATTGACTTTTGGGTATGATTTTTTTTTTTCTGAAAAAGAGAGTAGTCAGGATGTCCAGGAATAAGCGGCTGGACCAAATGGAGAATAACCGGCATATTCCAAACTCTTATTTTAGCGCAAAGCAGTCTGAACATGCGAAAGAATTAACGGTAGTCAGTGCTTAACGTCCCCATCAAAGATCGTGATGCCGTTCCCGTGCGAGTGTGATTATTCAAAATCGAGAATTTCAGCTCCCCCCTAACTACATTTCCTTGACTTCATAGCTACTCCCACTACGCACCACACTATTACTACACCTACAAACCTATAAGTTCGTACGTACGTATTCGATTTGATTGCACGTTATGAAACACGGGGAACTCCAGTTAAATAATTAGCACTACATCACAATCGCCGATCAAGTCTCGTAGATGAGAAGAGATGCAGACAACCAGAGCCGCCTTGACAGTTTGACTAGGGCCGCCAATTTCGTCTGTATCAATCATCGTACATATAAGCAATCAAGAGCAGCTCGGAAACGCACCAAAGTCTCAGTTTTCACAATATATAATACCTCTTGAAACATACTAGGAGTATTGAATATAATAACATTTAGGGTATTTTTTTATAAAAAAAACACAATTGGAATTGAAGGAGGGGGAAAAAAAGAAAAACAGGGAAAGATTTCTTAACCAATTTCTTCACAGGCTATTAGAAGGTCCATGGTCCAGCCCAACTTACAGCAGCCCAAAAAAATACTCTCTTAGCCTCTGTAACTACCGGCCCTAACAGTACTCGGCCCAGCCCAGACAGCCCCCGCTCCGCTCCGCTCCGCTCCGAACATTGGATCCTCTGCTCCTCTCTGCTCGCAACGCAGGGACTCCACAAGCGTCCAGGCTCGAGACGCCAGCACGCTCCCGCAGTAGCAGCAGCGCGTGCCGTGGCCGTGGGAGTGAGAGGCGCGGAGCTGTCGCCGGCGGTCGACCATCGGTGTCGGAGATGAAGGAGAGAAGCGGCTCCAGGGCGGCGGTGGACGAGCGCTACGCGCAGTGGAAGTCGCTCGTCCCCGTTCTCTACGACTGGTTTGCCAACCACAACCTCGTCTGGCCATCCCTCTCCTGCCGGTAACTTCCTCTGCCCACCGTACTGGCTCTTCCTTCCGCCTCTCCCTTTCGGTCGTTTCGTTCCCGTAGCCATCGTTTCGTGCCCGTAGCCATCGTTTCCGTGAAGATTCCTGCCGGATTAGGGATTTAATGGGGGTACGGCGTCGTTCGTATCTAGGGTTTTGATCCGGGGTTGTACTTGCGGTGACTCTAGATCTGTCCCATGGTTGGTGCGTTGGTGGGAATGGCGTGGGATGGGGTGGGAATGATGGGCCTGGATGCTGGATTAGCGTTTTGCGATGCTAGGGTTTATGGGTTTTGGCGGGTGTCACTGTTTGACAATTTGAGTTGGGGGGATAGGAGCTTGCGTGTTCATTTTATTAACTTATTTTGGTGCAGGGACTTCTTCAAATTTGAACAAAACCCTGAAAATTCCTAAAGCACCAACTTCTTCCAATTTGAATAAAACCCTCCTCCATGTGACTCTGCAACTTATGATGCTGATATCTGGTTGTTCGGTAACAGGTGGGGGCCACAGTTTGAGAAAGCTACCTACAAGAATCGTCAGCGCCTTTACCTATCTGAGCAGGCAAGTGCATCTGCAAGCATATATTATCTTATATCAGTTTGAAGAAGCAAATGCTGCCGATGCTTAGGTCTTTGTTGGCTGATGAGATTGCATATTATCTTTATTGGAGCTAGCTAACCGTGGGAGTTGCTTAATTGCTATGGTTTCAGACGGATGGGAGCGTGCCTAATACTCTGGTTATTGCAAACTGTGAAGTTGTGAAACCTAGGGTTGCAGCTGCTGAACATATCTCACAGGTTAGTTATTGTTTATTGCATTGATTAGAGTTGTGTTTGGCGAAAGCAGAAATGCATTAGTTTTAGCTGTGTGTCTTGTGTTTATTTGATCTTTGATTCCAGTTCTCATCTCAACCTAATCAGAAACTTAAAGGCTTTTGCCAGTCAGGGTTATGTCTAAACTGCATTAGAATGGTGCCGTATCTGTATGAATGGCTTATGTCAAAATGTTATGTACATTTGCGAACTCATTTATTCTGTATTTTTATACATCTGGATACATATTGCTGTTACCATTACACACAGACTAAGGAGATCTAAGTTTTTTTTTTTTTTTTTTTTTTTTTTTTTTTGTGGGGGTGGAGGCCATAAAACCACCCACATTTAGATGTCACTCTTTCAAAACATGTAAACCCACCTTAACTGCTCTATGCGGCTATTCACATTGGGGGCCCCCTCCTCCAAAATCCATACTTTGCACTTAGACCCGATTGAGAAGAAGAGAGCAATTTTTGTCACAAGATGGCTGGACAAATATTTTAATACAGAGAATTCTGAGACTATGGACAGACATGATGATATGGAGGGAGTATACTCTATAGTAATGTAACTCTAGTGTGTTCAAAGTATCCTTAGTGTTACATTGAGCCTTCAACAGCACTGTTTGGGTTTCATAATTCTATCTTTTTTGGGGGTTACGATGGTGCTCACCAGATATTCGTTTTGCAGTTTAACGAGGAAGCACGATCTCCTTTTGTGAAGAAGTACAAGACTATAGTTCATCCTGGTGAAGTAAGGGTTATTTTATATTGAAGTTGGCCTTTTTGCATTTTTTTTACATGTTGCTCATGCAGATCCTACAATGTGATCACTTTGTATTTGCTTCTCAGCATTGTTCCTCAGTTTGCTTTCGTATTTGAATTGTAGTTATATGGCACTTTTTATAATTTGTTAAACCAGATGGTTGATGCATTATTTTTGTCTTTACCTTGCAAACAGGTTAACAGAATCAGGGAGCTTCCACAGAACAGTAAGATCATAGCCACTCACACTGACAGTCCAGATGTATGTCCAGACCTTATACTGTCGTTTAAGTCTTGTGAGGCATAATGTGTTACGGATCGAAGGGTGTCAACCTTTTTCCCATTGTCATTCAGGTACTTATTTGGGATGTTGAAGCACAGCCAAATAGACATGCCGTTCTAGGAGCAAGCGAGTCTCGCCCTGATCTGGTATGATTCATTGTTTAGTTCAGTGTGCCAGAACTCTTCTTTGGCACAGGGCTTACTAGCATCTACTCTTTGTTCAGATATTAACAGGACATAAGGAAAATGCGGAATTTGCGCTTGCCATGTGTCCAGCAGAACCATATGTCCTATCAGGAGGTATTTTTGTGCTTTCCTACTCTTTTGGGAGTCAACTATTTATCCAGTTTGTTTGAACATCTCAAGCGCAAGATTTAGCTCCAAATAACGTCCGTTGAATGGCAATATGTTTCTTTATTGCATTGACAATTGTCCTTCCATTAGGATGTGTGTCCCTCACAAAAATATATATGTGTCTACCTGTTGCATTTAGTTACTTAGTCAATCTTAAGCCGCAGGATTTTTGTCTCAAGCCATTTGCTGCCTAAATCTGTGCAGCAGTGTCATTCTAACTCCAATTAACTATATCCTTGTTGATATTTTGGCTGTATAAAAGTAGCTTTTAGTAGATCTGTCTCAAAAGGATGTTCTCTCAATATTTCAATTTAATGAGCCTCAATAAATCTATATATTGGAATAGAAATTGGTAGTCAAATTTGTTATTGAGAGATCAAGACTGTAGTCAGCTCTGTAAAATTCTGTTTTCCAGCTCAACTAAAAGAGCAGTCCTTTTTCAAAATTTATTGATTATTGTACTGTGATAAATGATAACCTGTGTTTTGTTCAAATACAAAACTTAAATAGGAAAGGACAAATCTGTTGTCTTGTGGAGCATCCAAGACCACATATCTGCCCTTGGGGATTCCTCTTCTTCTCCTGGAGCATCTGGCAGCAAGCAGTCTGCTAAAACCGCAAATGAAAAGGAGAGCCCTAAAGTTGATCCTAGAGGTATATTCCATGGACATGACAGCACTGTTGAAGATGTTCAGTTCTGCCCTTCCAGGTAAATAGTGTTCTCTGTTTTTCTGGTTGCCTTCAAAACAACTGATGGACTCACATAAGCATATATATCATCCTCCAATTTTTCAAATGTTCATTGTTAAAACACTTCTATTTTTTTAATGATATTATTGTCAACGTCTTACCGCCTGGTGCAAGCGGTAGAGTCTTACCGCCTGTGACCGGAAGGTCCCGGGTTCGAGTCGCGGTCTCCTCGCATTGCACAGGCGAGGGTAAGGCTTGCCACTGACACCCTTCCCCAGACCCTGCACAGAGCGGGAGCTCTCTGCACTGGGTACGCCCTTTATATTATTGTCAACGTCTATGTTCATTTTTATTTATATTAATACCCTATATTTTTTTTTTCTTTTGGGGGATGAAGTGCGCAGGAGTTTTGTAGTGTGGGTGATGATGCTTGTCTTATTCTGTGGGATGCTCGAACTGGCACTGGCCCAGCTGTAAAGGTGACGTTCTCCTGTTCCATATCTAATTGGATCAACTATGTTTTTGGCCGAAGTTTGAGTGCATGAATGCAATGTGCCTTCTTGTGTAATAACGTAGCTTCATTCGAAGAGGTGATAGGCTGTTGGCTTTTAATGAGACCATCGTGACTCACATGGAGTTATTTATTTAGTCAAATTGGCCTGACATACTTGTTGCATGATAATTACGCTTCTAATTCTGTTTTCTCGAATGGTTGTTCATTTTCATTAACTTAACCAATATAATGTGTTGGAAAATTGACTCTGTTTTTTTTGCTTTGGTCAACAGTATATTGTTCAGTTTTGTAATGTGGCGTACCTTTCAATCTTTCTCAGGATATGGAGTTTTTAAATACTGTATGGACTATGATGTTAAAAGTTATTTATTTCTTTATTTTCAGGTTGAGAAAGCTCACAGTGGAGATGTTCATTGTGTTGATTGGAATCCCCTTGATGTTAACTATATCTTAACTGGGTATGATGGCATTAAGGCTTAATTTAGCATAATTTATGAAAAAAATCGATCTCCATCACTTCATTACACATTTAATGAATGTTTCAATTGATATTTCAGGTCTGCCGATAACTCTGTCCGAATGTGGGATCGTCGCAATCTGGCTTCAGGAGGAGCTGGTTCTCCAGTTCACAAATTTGAGGGCCATAAAGCTGCTGTTCTTTGTGTTCAGGCATGTGAAGATAATATTTTTGCTGTTTTTTTCTCTTTATGCAGATGTGGTTGCCTCCTATGATGTTTTTGGATACCTTTTAGCCATAATTCTCTCTTTTGGATTTCAGTGGTCACCTGATAGAGCATCTGTTTTTGGAAGTTCTGCGGAAGATGGTTTCTTAAACGTGTGGGACCATGAGAAGGTAACCACTCATATACACTGAACTATCGTATCTTTTCTGAAGGAACCCTGCACAGCTAATCGGTGAAGGTGATTGGGTTCGATTGCTTGTGATTTCTCATGTACTCTGTCTAGCCTGACTAATAAAAGTTTTTGTAATGGCAGGTTGGGAAGAAGAGAAATTCTAATGTCCCATCTGGGCTTTTCTTTCAGCATGCTGGTCATAGGTTTGTTGTCTCAGATGCAAAAACTAACCCTTAGCATACATGCTCCTATTTTTACCGTGCATTTCATAATTCATACTGTACATCTTGGCAGGGATAAGATTGTAGACTTCCACTGGAATTCGTCAGATCCTTGGACAATTGTCAGTGTCTCTGATGATGGTGAGAGCACTGGTGGAGGTGGAACACTGCAGGTACATCTTTTTCTTGCAATATTGCAAATTATTTCAAAAAAAATATTGCAAACAAGTGATTTTATAAGGCAAATATCAATCTGTATTTCCATAGTCAATTGGAGTTACTAAATCTACTGTATAATTGCCTTCTATTCTTACTGTTTTGTTCATGCAGATTTGGCGCATGAGTGATTTGATCTACCGCCCAGAGGACAAAGTCCTTACAGAGCTGGAGAATTTCAAGGCTCACTTGGCCAGCTGCGCTCCAAGGAATTGAGTCATGTAGTTACCTGCGGAATTCAATCCAGTGATATCTGAGTAGGTGATGTAGTTTCCTGGCCATAAGTATGGCCCCAGTTGACATTGAATGTGTCCTGATTCTGCTAGAGCTGTACCCTTGAGGGGCTTGTGCTTTTGTGAGCTTGTGTTAAACCTGTTGTATGACTAAATCAGTATGTCTGCAGACGCGTCGGAGCCGGACTTCAGTCTGTAGGCCAACTATTGGGATAATTGGCCGGATATTGTCAACAATTGTTCCAGATTGGTGTATTGGATCTAATGAGATTGTCTGCAATTGCTTATTTTTATGGTTTCGTGTGAGGTTCTGTCTACGAGCGTGTTTGGTTCAGACGTCGTTTTACCCTGTTACCTATTAACAGTGGCACCTGATCACTTGGGGGCCGTTTGGATCCCTTTGTTTTGGAGAAATTGAAATCTACGTAATGGATTAGGCTATTTGGTTTGGAATTTGACATTCCATAACTTTCCTAAACTTACAAATAAGCTTATCTCAAATTTATAAAGTGGGAGATGAAAATAGATTTTATAGAATATTATGTTATAATTCTATTCTCTAATTTATAGTACATTCTTTAACTCACTTTCTTATAATAGAAATGCAACATATAATATTTCTCGTATGTCTAACAATAAATATACAAATATATTTCATATATAACTATATTAGCTTAATTAATCTATGTCTAAATTATAATTATTAGAATGAATTTAATTTCAAAAATCTAAACGGGCCCTTATTGTTTGGTTTGGCAGCTGTAATCGATTGACGCGGTATCGGATACCCGGTCTTCAGAGCGACGATGCCGCCCACTTTCTGGCTTATCCATTGCATGCTGCAGGCTTCGCAGTCCGCACGCACAGCTCTTCGTGAGACAGCTTCCGCGTGAAACCAAACAAAAGACGTAAAGTATTGCACTGTAACAGATTACAGTGGTAAATGATTAGTACATTAACATTACTGTTCCAAAATTTGAACCAAATTGCACCTGGAAGGTTTTAGTTTGGACATATTCGTACATTGGAACAAGAGAAACCGACATGCATGTGCCATTGTGCCGATGTGCGTATGTTGGTAGGAGTTCATGTGTTGCCGGGACTTTATCCTTAGATCAGAAAGCGTTATTCCCGTTAACGAAGTATTGACCTGCCCTGGTTCCGATCGCAGCACGACGGCAGCGGAACAGAGGACGGCGAGAACATGTGAACGAACCGTGCTAGCACGTGACGTGAATCTAGGCCACACGCGAAACGCCAACTGGACGAACTGTGGAGCAAATATGTCCAAGTGTCGAGTGTCTACCTTCAGAAGATGGTCAGGTGGACGTGCATATGCTGATGGGAGCACGTATCTTGCCGGGGCTTAGCAGCGTCTTTTTGTTGTGTACTTAAATAAGTTCTGGTATAGGTAACGTATAGGTTTGAGTCAGGTTGACCTTCTCTAGTTCGGATCTCGCTCACCAGAATTAGGAACACTAGCACGTGACGTGTCACATCTTCGAACGAAGCTAGGTGGCACACAGGAACCGGTATATTATTACTAGCCTAGCTGGACGGTCACCGCGTGTGCGCGTGGTCTGTTCACTCGTCAGTTCAGTTCGTCTTGTGTGCCTACCCACCTCCACCCCTGTACGCTTTGCTCGCTCAATTGCCGGTTGCCGCTCCACCTCCAGCGTACGTTGTTTATACGCTTCTACTACTATGCGCCAAAACGGTCAAGCGAACGCCTTCGCATCCATCCATATGCTTCTGTACCGTGGCGTTCTTACTCTTCTGGGTAGCCGCGGGTAAAACACGATTGTTCAAATCTGAAACAACTATCTTTTGTTCAAACGATAATGATTCTATCCGGGTGTCCGTGCGGTCGGACGCGTCTACCCACTCGCTCCGCTCGCTCCCTCTCGTTCACACCCAGCCGTCCGCCTCCACCACGCAGCCCGCTCCCACCGCGCAGCCCGCTCCCACCACCACCAGCCGGTGGCGACCGCGAGCCGGCGACCGCGCTCCTCCGCGCCTGCATCCTCATCCTGCTCCGGCTCGGCGACGTCCCTGGCTCGAGCACGAGCTCTGATCCACGCGGCCACCCCTGGCGACCCCAGTCCTCAACTCCGGTGCGGGGATGGGCGCGACCCCGACGGCGGCCCCGGCGTGGGTTCGCGACCTCGGCGGCGGCCCCGGTGCGGGCGCAGATCTGTTGCGGATGCGCGACCCTGCTCCGGCACTAGGAGCCCCCAATACGCGCAGATCCGGCGGCCATGGCGCTCTCCACGCCAGGCTCTCTCTCCCCACATGTTGCAATTGTGACGTTTCAGAGGTATGTTGCAGTTGAACCATATAGATGTTGCAAAAGTAGATCGGGGGATGTTGCACATGTTGTATATGTTGCAATAATATGTTTCGAGTGTTTCAGATGTATGTTTCATCTGTGTTTATCTGGACTCATGTTGCAATTGTGCTTATCTGGATGTTGCATATGTTTTCCACATATGTTGTATGTGTTTTATTCGGATGTTTGCGTATGGTTGAAATGGCTTTCAAGTGTGTTTCAGGGGTGTTTTTCAAGTGTTTCAAAAGCATGTTTCAAGTCTTACAACTACCTTGAGACGTATGTTGCAACCATTGTTTCTCGATGTTTCAAAAATAGATCGGCTGTTGTATCCTCTTCCCACCTTCTGTTGCATCTCGCGGTTGGGAGCAGGGGCGCAGGCGCGTGGTGGCGTGGGGCGCGCGGCGGGCGTGCTCTCCTATTTGTGCGGGCGCAGCAAACGCGATTTCTGTTTCGATTCGATTTTTACACGAGAGGGGTGGGCGGTTGCGTAACGGAGCCATGTCCGGACGCAAGTCTAGGATCGGACGTCCGGACGCTAGGCTCGCCGTTTTCAAAACAACTTCCAGTCACGAACGTCGCTCTACTCTGGAATATTTGGAAATTTCTGGTCACGCAACGTCAGTAAACACACAGCCAGCCACCGACGCATGCGGTACGCAGAGCGATCCCGTGCTCGCATTGATTCAGCCTGATGGGTTTCAGGATCTGAATCTCCATCCTGACACGGGAACAGAGGAATAGTGGATGGTCGGTTACCGGCCAACGACGGGAGGTGGCCAGGTGGGCAGGTGGCAAATGGCGATCCACCTCGTCTCATGCTTACACGCACACGGGACTCGATCGGCTTCCCCCTCCTGGCAAGCATTCACTTCTCTGTTGTCTCCCAAACACCGTCCCTAGCCCGGAAATACGTCCCGATCCGTGCGCCGCGTGTCCCCCCTCGACACCTCGTATAAGAGGCCCGCACACCATTGCCGTTGCCTAACACCAAGCAACCACCTCCACTTGCGACTGCGAGAGACCACTACAGATCACATTCTCTCTGCCCACTGTCTCACACATCAACACCCTTCCCCGCCCGTTCCATCGATGGACGGCGCGGACGCGTTCGTGGTGTCGTCTATAGCCCATGGCCGTGGTCGCTGGTCTGCGGCTACTTCTCCCCGACGACGCTCTTCCTCCTTCTCAACATGGTCATCGGCACCATCACGCTCACGTCCCGCTCCCACCGCCACCGCCGCCGCCGCCACGACGTTGACGACGGCGGCCACTGGCACTACCAGTAGCAGCAGCAGCGCCAACACGTCCACGACCAGCCTCCTCCTCATCAGTATGCTCTGGCTCCTCCACCGCCGCTCGCGCGCACGTCATCCGTCATGGAGCGCCTGCGCTCGCTTGGCCTCTACCGATTCCGGTCCGGCGACTGATAGAGAATTACAGGATCACTAGCCATAGATCTAGCATACAAAACTGACATTTGGGATAAATAGTGAGTCCTAGAACATGAAGTAGTATGTGATTTATTGATAGAGAGAGAGGGGTTGCGGAGGTGCAAACCATCGGCCGTCTTCGTAGAAGACGAGCTAGCCATGGAGTCGCTTGTCGGTGGCGCGGTGAAGCCCGACGGTGAAGACGCTGTCGCGGTGACGGCGGTGCATAGGCGGCGGTGGCCGGTGGTGGAGCTTTCCGTCGCTGGCAGCGCCCCTTCTCTAGATTGGCTAGGGTTAGGATGTAGGTGGGGCGTTTGGCGGCTCAGGTGAACCTCGTGCCTTGTGCCCCGACCCCCACCTCTCTTTTTATGGCGCTGTGCGACGGGGGCCCACCAACCATGGAACGGTTGGGTGCCCCCGATCAGGGCGTGGATCCAAGGGCCCAATTGACTGTTGGGCCAATTGGTGGAGATCATCTAACATTCTCCCCCTTGATCTCACCTTATGACTTAAACTCAACTTACTTTATCTTGTTTCCATTCCATCACAGATCAATACATAGAGCGTGCCTCATTGTCACGGTTAGTTGCCATTAGATTAAACAACTACAATACACCTCTCTGTTTTGAAACAGATTCTCAACTAGACCCTTATTGTCCAGGAATCATTGGCTTTCCCTTAAACCTATGTCGGCTAAGTATTCTCTGAACACGCTGGGTGGTAAGCCTTTTGTAAGCGGATCCGCGAGCATCTTTTCTGTTCTTATATGCTCAAGATTAATTATATGATCTCAGACTTCGTCTTTCACAACATAATACTTTATGTCAATGTGTTTGGCAGCACCACTTGACTTATTGTTGTGAGCATAACATACTGCTGGATTATTATCGTAGTATAACTTGAGTGGTTTATGTATGTCGTCTACCACTTTCAACCCGAACATGAATTTCTTCAGTCAAATTCACCTGCCCTGTGGCCTCATAACATGCTACAAACTCGGTATACATTGTGGACGATGTAGTGACAGTTTGCTTTGAGCTTTTCCATGATATAGCTCCTCCTGCGAGAGTGAATATGTATCCTGATGTGGACTTTCTGTCAGCTCCCGCATAATCAAAATCTATATACCCCTCTATGTGTAGGGAATCAGATCTTCTGTACGTTAGCATGAGACCCATCGTACCTTGCAGGTAACTGCAAACTTTTTTTACTAATTTCCAG